TGCACCCGCAGCGCCGCCGCCCGGCAGCACCCGCGTCCCCAGTGCTGCTGACATCCCGGCCCGGCCCGGCCCGGCCCAGCTCCGCAAGGGCCTGACTGAGCCCGGCGGGTCCCGCGCTGGCCTCCCTTCTCCCATCCATCTTTCCTCCTTGCCTCGGTCAGCGCCGGGCTCTGGCCGCCCGCCTCTGCCCTGCCCGGTCCAGTCCCAGGCCCGCCAGCTTCTCCCCAGATCTTCACCTTTCAGCAGCGCAGAGTGCCTTTCGCCAGCGTACCCGCGCCGGTCCCCTGCAGCTGCTGCTGCGGCTGGCGGCGGCGGTAGCGGCCGCAGCAGCTCGGAGAGACGGGGCGGGGCCGCCACACTTTCCACACCCTGGCGTCCCCGCCCTTGCCCGCCCCCACCTCAGCCCCACTTCCGGGATAGGCCCTGGCGCGTCAGAGGCACCGCCCTCCAGAGCCACCATTGGCCACCAGGTACCCGAGGCCCCGCCCAGTCACGTGAAGAGCGCCCTGGCAACCCCACGTGCGGTGGATTAGTGCACTTCCGGCGTGAAGTGCGCTTTGAGGAGTCTGGCTGCTGAGGGAAAAGTTGCCCGCGAGGCAGGTCGCTTTTTTCACCGCTAGTTCGGGCCCCAGTCGACTTGAGCGAGAACGAACCACGCGCCCGGTGGTCCCTGCCCTCAGGTGCGTGGCAGTTGTCACGTTTCCGTTTTCACCACTCGCGAGTCGCGCGAGTTCTCCGAGTAGCGCGCGTGGCTGTGGAGGGAGCTCAGCGTTCGAGCATCTGGTTGAGCGTGGAGCGCTCCTTGGGGCTGGAACCCACTCGTATTCCTGGAAGACGAGCTCAGGTGCAGCATTTGACGAACCGGCGCCGCATCGTGAGTTCCGTCCATAATAACTGTCCGCCCTGTGGTGAGATTTTGGCGGCGACTGGCGGCCTGTGCCCCGCCCGACTGTAGCGCTTTCAGGGCTGGGAACTCCAGAAACATCCCGCAGTAAAATGGCCCAATCCAGTCCTTACCGCTCAGCCTTTCCATCCTGGCATTGGCATTCCTTCAAGTTTGGGTTTGTCCACACATGTCAGAGACGTTCGATTGATTTCAGAATTCCCTAGACCCTGTAGGCTAGAGCCTTTTTTCTATTATTATTAGAATGATTGCAGATATTTAAGGAAGAATTACACAGACAGTATACTAAATGTTTCACCTGCGTTGTATGTTTAATCTTGACTGGAAGCTTTTATGTTTAACCTTTTGTTATAATTTTTATAAAATTTATTTTTACTTAAGTCAGTTTTGAAAAGCAGAAAGTTATATCACCACCACTATAATCAAGAAACAGAATATTTTCTTCATTCCAAGAGTTGAGGATGCCATTTTGTGATCTGTCGTGTTACCTACCATCCACCCCTCACATTCAGACCTTGACAATCTGTAGCAGCTACTGTTTCACCTGCATTTTGAGTTCTGGAAGAAGGCAGAGAAAAGTTAAGCAGTTTGCCCCAAATTACACAGCTAGTAACGCAGATAACCAAGACTGAAATCCAGTTTGGGTACAGACTATTACCATATATCGTATTCACTTAAGATTTGGATTTGGAATAAAATGATTGAGCTTTATTTATTCAACAAATATAAATCCATTCTCCTGAAGTTGATGAATTACCGAATACTGAGTCGTTACTTTTACGGGAAATACAGGCTGGGCTTTCTGTGAGCCTCAGATCGCAACAGTTTCATTAACTAGTCAAGGTATTGTTGTGCGTTTTTCTTTAAAGATACCTTTTTAAATATATTTTGAACTGATTGCCAACCACACTAAAATTCATGCGTTCAGGTACTTTACATTCACACATCTTCTCTATAAGGCACACTATAGCTTCTTGTATTTAGAGACACTAGACGGCTTTTCAGGATGATACCTGGGGCCATTTAAAGCAATGAAATCAAAAGCCATAAAAAGGGGGAAAAAATGGCAATAAATAGACTGAGAAGGACACTTCTTTACATCTTGACAGCTGAGAAGATACTAATGGAGAGCACTGCCATGTTTGACCTGAGCTAAGAAAATGTACATTGTATGACTCAAACCTCTGTGCATATTCACAAATGACCTAGAGAGTACAATAGCACAGTCAGTACTGACTTTGGGATTGCAAGAACATTTTATGTCTGTAATACCCAAATATAGAATCCAAAATAATAAGGATAGACTATATATTTTAGCACCCACACCTCTGGAATCACCATATTGATCAAGACAATCTTTTGTTTGTAAGGTGCTTAGAGTCTAGTGTAGGAGACAACTTACCAATTTTAAAAGATAAAATGAATGCTAATAAAGAAATAAATGCAGAACTGTGAAAGAAAAGACCTCTCATAGTGTCTGACCACATAAAACCCTCCTTAAAAGATGAAAATTTCAAATATATTTTGTTTAACCCAATAAATATCTCTAAAATATTCACATATAACCAATATAAAGTTATAACTAGGGTAGTTTACATTCTTTTTTTCAGTAGTAAGCCTTCAAAATCTGTATGTATTTTGCACTTACCAAGACATCTCAAGTCACACTAGCCGTATTTCAAGTGTTTAGCAGCTGTGTGTGGCTCATGGCTGTTATATTGGACATCACCAATGTAGAAATGAAAACACTTCTCTGCTGCTCTGGGAATAACAATCTAATTTGAGATTTGAAAAGGCAGTAGAAATTAGCAATGGGAAGGGGTTTGGATAAGACATTTTAGCCAAAGAAAATGGGAATAAAAGGGCCTATTATAGGTGACAGAATCATAGAATCTTTCTTGTTCTACAAAGGGCTTAATATACCTCAGGTACTCTGTAAAGAGTGATGAATGGATTTAGATTTTCTCCCCAGGGCTAGAAAAAAATAATCATATAAGAAAATAATAATTTTTTTAACCCAGAAAGACTAATCTAGGTATGATATAGAAAATTTTTAGGGGTGAAACTATTAGAAGAAGAAAATCAATTATAAAAAATTTTTCTTGTCAGCAAAGTGGTCAGTGTGTGAAGACAGAAAACAGACAGTTATAAAGGAAAATGGAGATACTGTATTGTCATAATTCAGTGTTGGGGGAGACACAGGCATAGGATGTAAAGAAGGGGAAAGAGTCCAGGTATGACTCTTGGGTTATGGCATAAAAAACTGGGTAAATGGTGGTACCATTCATTGAGATAGACTAAGTAGAAGAAGCAAATTTCCAAGAACAGTTGAGTTCACTTTTGAGCAGACTGAATTTAAGATTCCTGTGGGAGAGAAGTCTATCCAAAATAGGCACACATTTGTGAATCATCATTATATAGATGATGATTAAAGCATGTAAATGGTTGAAATCTTTTGGGGGTAAGTGTACACAGTGAAAAAGCAAGAACATCTAAGACAGAGCCCTACTATATTTAAGGAATAGACAAAAGAAGAGGAGAATGAGAAAGAACATTGTATTTTTTAGTATTCTTTTGTGATAAGCAACAGAAACCAACTCCTACCAATTTACAGAGCAATAATAAAGGATTGGTAAAAAATAACTCCAGGTTTGAAGAGAATCTTGAAAGGACAAAAACCATACAACTTTGCAGTTTATATAGAAAGAACCATTGTTATAATCTCGTCTAAAGTCACTAGAGTGAACAACCTGTGTCAGTAGAGAGATTCTAAGAGTTAATGTTCTAGAAGATGGAATTCCAATTGCTGTAGCTTTCACTTCCTCTCCTTCTCTTGACAAGGCACCTTGTTCCAAAAGTCCTATTTCTATCTCTATATTGTATCTGGGAGTTTCCACCATGTAATTTTTCATGAAAATTGAGGAACTCTGGATTCAAAATAGCATTAACCAAACCACAAATAATTTTATACAGCTGCATAAACAACATGTATTAGCTTTCTATCATTGTAATAAATATCTAAGTAATCAACTTATAAAGAGAAAAGATTTATTTTGGCTCACAATTTTGGAGGTTCTAGTTCATGATCAGTTGACTCCCTTGTTTTTGGGTCTATGGTGAGGCAGCACATCAGGGCAGGAGTGCGTAGCAGAGCAAAATGTTATGGCCTGGAAACAAAGGAGAAAGAAGAGGGGCCAAGGTCCTACAGTCCCCTTTATGGGCACATCCCCCATGACCTAAACATTTCTTCTAGGTTCCACCCCTTAAAGCTTTCACTGCCTCCTAAGAGCACCACCCTGGGATCCAAGCTCTTAACACCTGGGCCTTTGAGGGATATTCAAACCATAGCATAACACATTGACATATATACCCACACTAGCAAATTAAGCCTGTTTAATTTTTTAAATCTTTTCTTCATGATTGTGTTCCCCTCTTTTCCATAAATAATTTCCATATTGTTTTTCACATTTTAAAACTTATTTACATAATGTGCATTTTTATAATTTAAATCATTTGAACAAAAAATGGCACTATGATTAAACTGCATTTTACAACATGCAGAGCACTTAGGATCAGCTTGGATTATATTCTAGAGTTCACTATCCTTCCACCAGCTGCCTTCAGCAACATACATTATTTTCCT